TTTAAACCTAGAAAACAGTTATAATTTGTTAAAAATTTATTTATTACTACACTAATGTAATTTTCAATTTTATATTGACAATATTGACAATAAATAACGAATAAACATGAATCAATGTTTTCGTATTTAAATTATTATAGATGATAATAAAACTTGAAATTGTAAGTACCTATATTGATTAGGTAGAACTTAAATGTTAAATTTCCTTATACGACAAAATTTACAGTACATTGATTAAAATATTGACTTAAAAATATTTTAATATGATAGATTACTAAAACTTAGTTCCTGGATAGGTGTATATTTTTCTTGGAAAATGTTTTTTTAAGAAATTCAGTTTGACAATTCAATTAACGTAAGTTCAAATATTTGCTAATTGTTGAGATGTCGTAAGTATTTATTAAATAGGTATGATGAAAATTGATCTAATTTGCTATCTCAAATTCACACAATATATATATTAGGTATAATATATTATAATACATATATGTGCGCACATATTATTTCTGATAACATTTTTTTTATTATTATTCATTTATTTATCGTTTTTATACATTATCGTTATTTTAATCGTGGGACGTACCTGTGTAATTGTATTGTGCACAATAATGTGCACTAAAATTTAAATCGAATCGCAAACAATTAATCGGATAAACGAGTGCGGTGCGTACACACACGTGCAACATAATAATATTTCCTAGTTAATAAATTATTTTTTATAGGTTTTTCGCTCTACGGACGATTATGATTTTTATATGCGTTTTATTATCTGGGTAGGTACATAATATATAATCGCAAGGCCCGTTCTTGAAATTTATGTTTACCCATTAAATACGTGCTATTGATTTCTTTTTTTTCTCTACTCGATGTATCCGATTTAATTTCAATAGTTGAATAGGGGTACAGAGTAGTATATAATTAAAAAAATGATAATACATAAATATGAACGACCAAAATCAGCACAATATTTAATATTATATGAGACTTCAAAAATGTATTAATAAATATTATAATGTATAAATACTGTATATTAGGCGTCGATATAACGTTTTATATTCAATTTCGTGGTTAGGAGATAGGTTATTGTGATGTTACATTATTTTAGACGAACGCCTTACCGTGGAAACGAGAAGCAACCGAAATCTCGGCCGAGCGTATTTGCGTGCTCGTGTGTACCGCGCGTATTATAATGACGCGCAATTTATCATACTTTGTGGTGTTACGATAAATCTCCATCCAAGTCTGGGACGCGTGTGCGCTTTATTTATTTGTTGTTAAAAGGTCACATCGATCGATTCAGTGCTGCCTTAAATTATTATTATTATTATTATTATATACATGCCACGATAAAACGAAAAATAAATAATTTATACGGCAAACCGACGATGACATATTATTATTATATCCGATGTTCGTAACATCCCACAAACTCTTCACGCATAGTGATTTGCCTACTGAAGTGTGATAAAAAGCACCGGTTAACACCAACATGAATGAGTGAAACTTGCTATTATACACTTATATAGTGGTTCATCGCATTTGCAATTAATATTATCATATCGCCGGCCGAGGTTAGAAATTTCCACGTCGCCAAGTCCGTCAAAATAATTATAATGTATAGGCATAATATTATTAAAACATATTTCGTTTTTATTGTATAATTCGTGTAGGTACAATGTTTTTTTTTTTTTTTTTGTGCATAGAATATAGATAGACCCTATTGTTTAAGAACGATACTACGAAAATACCTTTTATACACTCGCACATTGTACAATATGTAATACATAATAATATGTAACCCACTATCGATTGCAATAGTATTAATAATTTTTTTTCCTTATTAGTTAAGCATCAACTACAAAGGTTATTAGCTTTTTACAAAACTTTTAAATATTTACAATTTACATTTTGTTATACAAATCAATATTCTTTAAATATAAAATTAAATTATGGTAGTTGGAATATGGACCAACAATTGCTTCGTACAGGCTGTCGGGAATGTCGAAATGTTTCCTAGCTTTATTGAAGTTAGGGCAGTGGACGATAATGTGTTTGACGGAGTAGTTTCCATTGCATGTTGGGCATAGGGGTGGATCTGTCTTTGCCTTAAGGTGTCCATGTGTATTAATATTACATGTCCAGTAGAGACGCTTTATTATATTTACGATTTTAGTATACCATTCGATATTTAAACTACATATTATTACCTATCTTTAATTAAAAACAACAATATTTATATTTTTCCTGCATAAATTGTAGGTTATCCAATAACAGTACGTCGAAAATTGTTTTTGTTGTATTTTGAATTATGCCTGTAAGTATTTCATGGTTTTTATATAATTCGATACCGTGACAACCTATATAATATGTATTGGTGCTATTAATTTTTTTCTAACCTTTAATTATTTATTTGTTTTTGAATAAAAAATACAATCAACTATCTATKATGCATATCATAATAATTAATAATAATTGTTTCTTTATATTTAAATAAATAAGCCTCGGCGTCTTTGGTCATTATCGGTATTCAAAGAGTTTTAGTGTTAACAATTTCTTAAGATACAGTATTTATATATTTACAGATTATAAATCGTTGATAAGATTGGTTCCCGTGTGACTTATATTATCTGAATAGAGGGCTTCCGACATAATATTTGATATCCCAGCTTCACGTTTGTCCGTTTCAAAGAAACGGTATTCGAATATAATATGTTTGATTGATAGGAGTGTGCCACAACTAGCACATATGAGTGGGTCTTCCTTTTCGATAAAAACTAATAACTTATACCTACAATAGATACTTAAAAAATTTCATATACACGTGAATTAGCATGTAACTTGTAACTTAAATTATATTAAACTGATTAGAACAAGAAGGGTATATAGATTCATAACAAGACTAAATCAACAGGTTATAAAGTTATATTATGTCTTATACTCATAACTGATGCGATTATCAAAACTTAAAAATGTGTAATTGTTAAACATTCATGATAGATTTAATAAATTAAATAAGAGTTTTTTCAACTCTTAAAAATATTTAGAAACGTTTAATAATTCCTTGTAACCATAATCCAACAGTTTCACTTCATCGATATAAAAATATTTATATCCACACTACACGTCTTAGTATAATATATTCTAATAATTTTATTCGAGTGCGGTTATGTGTGAGTGTGGTAATGGTTTTCGCAATTCAACCAAAATTTTACTCTTTTTTGCAGTAAAGTGAAATATTGTTATTGTAATATTTCTTTAAATATTGATCGTGTTTTCTTTTAGAATTCTTGTATTGTCGCATTTAAATCATTCTATTATAATACATTGTATGGTATTTAATTTTATGTTAATACTACAAACATTTAAAATTAAACTTCGAAGTTAAATTCTGGTACAAGTAAACGGAATTTATGTCGATTATACAATATACAAAACACATTGAATAATTTAAGTAGTTTTACATCGTATATACACCTTATAGTTGTATAATATGGTTACATTTGATAATAAACTAGAATATCTACACTAATTTAAATATCTTCAGATGAAAAATACAAATCCTAGTACGAAAACAATACAATGTCCATAGATTGGTGCCTTCAATCTACAAAGTAAACGCGTGTAATTTGATGTGGCTCCGCGGGATGCGTTTTGAATTTGATCATAATAATATATTATTTATAATTTACGTATTATATTTATAATTTTTTGGAAAACGTTAAATTTATTTAAAATTGTTTTTGTGCTTATAATATAAATGTATTTATCTCAAAAAAATACTTTTGTATATTTTTTGTTTTTACGTACTTATAAATCGTATGCAAATGACAAAATGTTAATKTTAATGTTTCTAACCAACAATATTTGTTTATTAGATTCAAAAAAATATATACGAGTATACAATATGGTAATGATACATAATTAATCATAATGTTAGATGTATAGGAACATAATATATTATATTATTTAAATAAACAGCTGAGTCATTAGGTATATATTTATTATTGTTTATGAAAAATAGTACACAAATATTTCTAATCAACCATTTCGCATTCTAATAATTAATAACACATTATAAAATTACTTGCCGCAATATACCTACATCAATCTAACTAGACTTTGTGTCTGGAGATAAAACATCGAATTTATTGTGTACACAGCAGCGAAACAATACACCGTCGTTCGACCGGTTAGTCTGCATCTTCAATTAAACAATAATAACACTGTTATATCGTAGTCGCTGGCCGTGACCACTGATCTCCGCCGTTTCTTCGTTTCTTTTAGGAGGAAATTAATTTCGGAAAAATCGAGAGATGGTGTATCGATTAATAAAACCACTCTCCTACGATAATAATAATAATAATAATACTGTCACCATTGAGTACAGCATGATGCTATTACCTAAATATTATAATTATGTTTTATAATAATTATATTTAATAACATAATAATATACCCGGGATCGTCAACGACTACAATTTTATAGTGATATTTTCCTGAAAAATTAAACAAGTAAAAAAAACCTTCATATTCATCGTTACCGTATGGTTCCGGTCGCGTCGTCCAGCGATAATTCACATTATAAATAAAAAAGCAATTTTTCATGTATAATAATAACAGCAATACTTATAATAGGTATATTATATTATACCTTCATAATAATAATTATTTATAATATTAGTACCAATGAAAAAGTACATTATATAATTTATATCGTACTACATCAGTATTACACTATATTTTTTTTTTTTTAGTAAGAGTAAATAGGCTTCGACAGGAGAGGTCATTGTAAAAGTTTCGCATTGTACAATTAGTGTTTGATAGCTTAAACGTATTTTTACATGGTTTTGACAATAATAGTTTATAATATATTGAATAGATTAGTGGCATGGAAAAAATTGAATATTATACTATTATATCGTATTGTGTGTTGCGACGTCAGTTTTTATTTTTTTATTTTTGCACACATTTATATTCACAATTTTTTTTTCTTTTCGCAGGTGGTAAACCATGTGGGCAGAATGAGTCGTGGCCGAAGAAAACTGTTGGTGTACGGGCTTTTCGTCGGCACGTTACTGTTGCTGGCGTACAAGTTGCGCACGTGTCCCGAACCCGATCCCCAAACCATGTTCATGATACCGAAAGACGTGAGTATATCGCATACTTATAATGTGCCACCGTGTTGATAATAATATATAATTTTCCATTATGATTTCTACAATATTAATTTTTTTTTCAATTTCAAAATTATTTTGAGCGTAAAATTATGAATGAGTGAACTTTAGGATTCCTGCTCGTAATAACCTCGTTATTAAAGTTCCGGTGTATGGTGGATGTGCTGGGTGAAATGGGTTAATGTATAGGAGTGAGACGCGCCAAGTATTACATCGGGGTTTGATATAATAATAGAACTTATGAACTGTGTATGCAATTTTTTTTTTTTTTAAGGGACGAATTGAGGTTATTATGGTTTTCCGAGATAGAAAAAAGTCGTCTACAGCAGAGTCGTTTGTCGTTGATATAATATTTAACTATTTTGATTGTTTGTTTTTTTTTTTTAACTAAGAATAAAATCGATTAATATTTTAAGTTGTTTATGATATATACAGGAACAGTGGAAACGACGGCGGAATAATAAAAACGAAGTGTTAATGATCTGACACTGCTTTATTTTTTTTAAATCATTTTTTCTCAATCTATTTTTTCATATTTAATTTACGTACCTATATGTCTTATACAGAGACCCGACGAGAATTTCACCGCGTTTAAGTAGTTCGCGTGGCCGCAAGGGTAATGTCCCATACATAATATATTATATTATCAGTCTTTCCGTTTTGAAACATTAGATCCTATCGTGGATCCCTCTACATACATTATTTATCATATTATTATATGTGGTGTTTAAAATCATTACTTAAAGAGGTATTGAACATTTTAACGATCACAAATTGTTTTTTCTCCTCCATATATGAACTAGTGTATTAAATTTATACTACATAATATATGCAGACTTATTGAAGACAATTTTTATTTCCTAAAATGGCCAATTATCTATAATTAGCTTCACGCTCTATATTAGCACAATCATTGTAAACTTTTGTTTTATTCATAATTATTATTATTTTTATCTACATATATATATGTATATATTATAATGTTATCATTTAGTTATAAATTATAATAATTTCTATGCAAAGATTCGGAAGGCCTGTCTTTACTGCACGTCCAAGTTCTTCATATTTTTAAACATACAATTAATAGATAATATCATAACGTCCTCAGAATTTTTATTACCCAAATAATATAACTCATAAAATTGTTTTTTACTTTACATATGTAGTCATAAATTTGTTTATAAGATACATTACCTATATACTTACTTACTATATTTTCTATATAATAATTTTAATATTATTTATCACTAAAATGTCTCTCAATAGCGCCGTTCTATGCAGTTACTTTTGAGTTTTATGCCATGATAATAATATATTATTATTACCCGGTAATCAAATGGCAGATTTTATACATTTTGACTTATTGTGTGCCATGAGCAAGCCGCCGGGCTTAAAAATTGCCATGTAAAGATAAAATACGATAAGAAAAGCGTTTAGTTTCGTGTTAAGTTTATTAATATTATAATCCATATATGTTTTAACTTATTTAAATGCATCCGAATTAAATATAATAAAATATTATTATAGCCGCAAGGGCAATGAAATAATCTATGATCTCGGTGTAATAAATGTAATAAGTATATGTATTTATAAACCCTATACTACCTACAGATAAATTTGTTAAACTACATACACCTATCTAATTAAATAAAAAAAAAAATCTTTTACGAAAGTCATAATATATTTTTTATTTTATGATAATTTCATGTAAATCAAATTGAACTATAAACAATCGGATTCGTCGATAACTGTCAAACTGTATCACGACATATTTTATGATGTCTATATATTATAACACGTATCTATATATATATATATATATATATATATATATATATGTAAACGTTATCTTTGTGGTTCATGAACATTAAAAAATATTCTATATGTATCATAGATTCAGCTACAGACTGTGTTAAAAAATATTTTTAAATTATAATATTTTTTCTATCAGAACGGTTATTTTTATCCTTATACTTACCATAAATGAAAAACAGAACGAGACGATACAATAAACATTCTTGGTATAATAAATTAATAACGTGGCTGCTTGGAAATATTTAGTACCTATAGCGTGCTGCATTTTTTAGGAAATGATTTAGACGCAGAGAAAAAGGATACATGTCCGATTAACATTTGAAGCCGAAACCGATTAATCACTTAATTCGTTTTGCTTATAATAAATCAATTCGAAAGATTCTTCTTTATAAAAAATATTGTAAAGCTTACGGAATTTATGTGCCGTGTACTCGAGTAATATTTCGTAAGACGTATATATTCGGATTTCCGGTTTTTTTTCCTACAGCATTGTGTGCACAGTTTTATACTAATATAATTTATAATCATACGACTGTTACAAGTTTAAACATCGCGTGTTATTCCGATACACGACGATTGTTTTACATGTGTTCAAGTTATATCAATTAAGGTTTGACATTATTTAATAGTCTGAATGAAATGTCTAACGAGCAAAGTATTGTGGTTTTATAATAGTAGTTTTTTTTTTATATTTTTATATTTAATGTATAGTTTATTGTGGACTTTTATCGAGTAGAAAAATTATCACAAGCATCTTTTAGTGATAGAAAATCGATTTAAGATCTTACTATTCAGACTTTAAAGCTTAAAGAGAATACTTTTCAACTTCTAATTTAATTCTCTAAGTGTGAACAAAATTTACCGATAACCATCGAAAAAAAATTTAATTGAAGAAATGTCAGCAACTGTATAGTTTTAGAAAATCGAATCCCTCATAATTTTAATTGTAAGCTACGGTCTGAATAAGTTATACGTTTTTCGAGTTCCACATTTCCTGCTCCGTATTATTGAGAATAGCAAAAGATACATCGAAATATCAATTGAATGTTCAACAACAGCGTTCTCTATATTCAGTATACATTTTTGGAAAAAGTTTATTTCAATAATAGGTACCTATATTATTTTGTTTTTGGTGTAACACTGGATTATGTTATGTTTGACCACCAATCATAAGAATTAACTATTTTATTGTTGGCTATTTAAAAATAACAACGAATAATATAGTTTGAACTTCTACTACCACGTACCTAATTCGTATATATATTTATATTCTATCCACTTCCGTACATTCAATTTTTGTTTCGGAAATGAATACAAATTCATGCAATGAAACAATTATTAACTATACATTCAAATGAACAATATTAGGTAAACAACAAAAATGTATATTTTTCGTCTGCTTTCGATGTTCCGGTATAATTGGTCGTTGTATTATTGTTCTATTATCTCCGATTTTTTTTCTTTCAGAATCATTCTTTTGTAAAATAACAAAAGTTTATTAATATTCCAAACAATCGGGATAGCATTTACGTCCCTATTTCATTGATATTCCTTTTTTTTAATGTTCATATTGTATACGTAACATAACATAGCGACGTTTTTTAGTATCGGACAGTACTTCTTAARTCTGTCTTTACAGAAAACTTTAGATGACCTACACATTTTATAAATATTACAATTTACAACCATGTTGCATTATGGTTTATAATATATTATAAATATAATGCACCGATGCAATAAACGGGTAGATCCCCTAATTCGAACAACGCCCCTTCGGTCGTTATCAACTGTTCATATACCCACTGCTAAATTGTATTTAGTAATAATAATAGAATTAATGGCCCTTTGTAGAGTTAAGTTTATATCTATATGGTAATTAAAAATAATTTCAGAAAATATTGTAATTGTAAAGCAATTTTTTTGTGTGCCTTTGAAATAACATTACAGAACTTATTGTATTTTTTTCTTTCAGAAATTTGTTACCGACGAAAACATGAAGATCTACTCTTATGATCGAAACATGCCACTAATATTCATCGGTGGCGTTCCCAGATCCGGTACTACGCTTATGAGAGCCATGTTGGACGCTCATCCGGACGTCCGGTAAATATAACTACGGTTGATATATTAATATAAACATCACAAATAATTATGTATTATGTTTTGTACATGTAGTTTGTTATGTAGTTAATTATTGTATAATTACGTATTTATATGTATAGCAATAATTTGTATACCTTCGACAATACAAACGATCTTACAATACAAATCACGAAATTAGATAAATATTGATAAAATAAGCTATTAAATATAATAAATTTATTTTCTAGATAAAAAACCATAATATATTTTAACATGGTATTTTAATTTATTAYAGAATACAATAAACTTGGTATGCATATACATAAAATGCTAACTTCATACACAAATTATAAGTGCCTAGTGCCTATACTTACGCATTTTGCCAGCTAATCATGTCATGTTGCTGTAGAAATCGATAAATCATGATATCGATTTTTGTATTTCAAATACACATTAACTTTAGTTATTCATAATTTCTAACTAGATAGAATACAAATATTTGGTAACAAGTGATCGGATACCGCGATTTTTTCATATTATACATTTTAATATGATATAATACAATGTATTAAATAGGTATATCACCATAGAAAGGGATTTCCGGCTTAATGCACTTATTATTTCGTTAATATTCTGTGAAAAAACACATAAAAACATTATTTTTGAATTTACAGAATACTGTCCAATCAGACGAAAAAATGTCGTTTATTATAATCTGTATATTAACTTTTAATCGGTATATTAATGAATATAATGTTGGTATATATACTTAATTAAAGTATTAAAATATTACGACGCACACATTGACTCTGACCATGCGCTTGCAGGTGTGGCCAGGAAACTCGAGTGGTGCCAAGAATCCTACAAATGCGCAATCATTGGTACAAGTCGTCCAAAGAGTCACTTCGGCTGAAGGAAGCCGGAGTTTCTGAAGAAGTCATCAACTCCGCGGTTGCTTCTTTCATACTCGAAGTTATAGCCCGACACGGGGTACCGGCACCCCGACTGTGCAACAAAGATCCTCTGGCATTGAAGTCCATGGACTATCTGAAGGTGTTGTTTCCTAACGCCAAGTACATATTCATGGTTCGCGACGGCCGAGCAACTGTCCATTCGATAATATCGCGTAAAGTGAGTAATGAGTATATATAACATTTTTGAATACTTACCATGATATACAAATTAATTGTGCTTATAGATATCATATTAATAAATATTTTACGATTTTCATTGCTTAGCTTTAAAATATAAAAAAAGATTGAATTGTGTTAACTTATATATTTTTATTTAAAAATATTGGTCAGTGATTGTATTAGGTACGTTCATATATTTTATTATATTTTATATTTCCATCTATTCATTCACTATAATAGATGAATTATTTTTTTATTAAGAATAAGGCTTCGACATCGGAGGTTATTAGCCTGAAAAGGTTTACAATGTTAGATTAAAAGCTTAGAAATATTGATACAGTCTTATGTACATAGTAGCATAGTAATTAAAMAAAATAAATAGATAAAATAGTAATGATAAATAAATAAATAAAACAGTAGTATTTGCAGATTTTTTATAATAGGTTGGATACTTTGATGGCATTAAAAAAGTTGAAGATAGCATCGGTGTTGGTTTCCCCGAGTGCTTCTTCGATRTTGGAGGGGTAGTTTAAGATGCTTCGTTCATTGTTGTACTTGGCACAGCTGAGTGTGAGATGTTCAATTGTCAGTGGTAGGTCACATTGATGGCAGGTTGGATGTTCTTCATAGTTGAAAAGGAAAGAATGGGTGAGATGTGTGTGGTCAATTCTAGCTCTAGTTGTGACGATATCTGCTTTACGGGCTGTGTTTATGGGGGATCGCCATTTCTGTATGGTTTTTTTTTTATTTTTTTTTTTTTGTTATCGGAGGTGCGGTCCCATTGTGATTGTCACTGTTTGTTTGAGATTAGGTTGATTATTCTTGATAGGTCTTTATATGATAGCGAACTAATAACGGTTGATTCAGTGGAAGATATAGCTTGGTTCGCTAATAGGTCGACTTCTTCGTTGCCTTTGATACCAGTATGTGACTGGACCCACATGAACTCCATAGTATTTTTTGAGTTAGCTATAATGTTGATTATTTGTTGAGAGATTTCATTGGATGGATTAGAAGATAGTAAGGAAGTTAAGGCACTGAGAGAGTCGCTTATGATAAGAGCTTTTTTAATGTGGATGGATTCAACTTAGATAGTTGCTTCTTTGATGGCAATTATTTCTGCTGTGAAGATACTGGCTTCAGTAGGTAATTTGTATAGTTTTTTTACGGATCCAGAAATGAATGCGCAGCCTGTGCCTGTTTTTTTTTTTAATGCATCTGTGTAGATAAGGCTGAAGTCATGGAAATCTGAGTTTATGATATCATTGAAATTTGAGGTAATAATGGAATGAGGGTTGGAGTTATTGTTGAAATTTGATAATTGAGTGTGAACTTGAGTGGAATATAGCCAGAATGGAGTTGTTAGAAACGGAGATGACACTTCGATGTTGAGATGGAAGTTGGATTTTTTGCATATACGTGTGTAAGTTTCCACAATTGTAGCTGGTTCTTTGAGTGTGTAGATTTGAGTAGGTGACTTGAATAATTTGTATATTGTTTGGTTGGGGAAACTAAGTCTTTTAGTAACAAATTTTAGTATATTTTTATTTCTTCTGATTTGTAGTGGGGGTTCACCTGAAATGCATAGAATGCTGTCAATAGGGCTAGATGAATTATTGTTCTCAGTTAATTACGAGAATACATTAATTTTTATTATTTATTCATTAAATATTATCTTTATAAATGTCCTTGTAAAGTAAGCGATATAGATGCCTTTCATATTTTATAACAACTAGTGCTGAAGTTTTATGTTATCATGGTAGGATATCATGTACCCGTAATCTAATAATAAATAGTGTATCAATAAACCATATAATATTATAGCGTATTATGTAAATTATCATAACGTCGTAATATCATATTTTATGTGTTATATGTATATAAACATAAGACATAACTAAACAAGACCATTGAATTTCATCGATTTAAAATGTTAAATGATGAACGCATATCTGAATTATACCGATTTGATCCCAACTGCTGAGTTGCGAAAATATTTTCGTTTTTATAGTATTTCAAAAAAATATTACCTATAACTTAAATAGTTAAACATGCGAGAATTAAATAAAAATCTATGTACGCTTTTCTATTTATTCTACGATTTTTGTATCTTCACTTGTTTAATTATACATTTTTTTCAAGTTATGATCATGATTATTTAACTCGAACAATATTAGTGCATAATAATACAATTAAATTCTAAATCTATCTATGTAATGGGCCACTACACTAGTTTTCTTAGAGTGGCTCAGTATTTATTGCATTCAATTTGAATAAAATAATATTACCTATATCTATTCTATATCTAATAAATATTTTATGTGGATAGGATAATAATTAATAGTTGTGATAACAATTTTTATCATCTAAAATACAAATGAGAAATGTTCTTATAACATAAATATGTAGGTATAGTTTTCCTTTATACGTAGATAAACGATATGAAAAACAAATCATCTTCGATTAACGTTATAAATAAATGATATTATATGTTGAGTAAAAAGCTGATTTCCTTCAAACCTCTTTTTTTTTTTTATGAAAATATTAATTAAAAGTCTACGCTGCTGTACGACATATTATACGAAAACTAACTCTAAATGTGAATGAATGCTACTATCTTTAAGATAAAATACGAACATTAATGGCCTTATTAGGTACCAGAATAATTTTAAAACTTGATAAACTTTAATAATTAAACTTTATGAATAAATCAAATAATTTAAAAGTTTATTTACGAGACTGCCTTATACAATATTTAATACGTTTACGATGTTATAATTTTATTCAGCTAAAAACTCTTTCATAATTCATATTAGTTTATTTTCGTTTTGTCTAAAAAAGTATTTTCTCGTCAGTTGTTTTTGGCCCATGGGGTGTGTTAAGTTTTATATATATATACATATATAACGGATATATTGAGTACTATGCAATTTTGTGTACTTATTACATTATACTGTGTATATAGTTTAAGTTTTCCTTATTTTTGATGCGTCGTGATGGTGTTTTCAAAAATATTATTATACGCTACTGTGGGCAGGATCATTAGAGCCAAAACGTCAACAGTTACAAAATAAGATGATTAATATTTTGATCGGTAAACGATTTTAGTTGAACCGTCACGCATACGTATATAGTTAAATCTGCATAAATTTATGGTATTGTTTTGATGAAAACATTGTAATATTGTATAAATTAAAATCAGCTCTTGTAAGGTCACAGATAATGGAACTAAAATTTTACCTATATCTGTCGAATATGTGTCAATACATTTTTGTTTTTCTACAAAATAAATAATTTAAATAACCCTTAACTATGTAGGTTATACTTATACAATTACGGTTATTATACTTACCTTTAAATAAAATACATTTAGATTATGTTTTGCTGCAAGTAAAACATGTGAACAACATTTAAGTGTTTTTCAATCGTTTTTAATTCTTGTAGAATATTGCAATATAATATGTTAAACACTAAGACAAACCTTTCCAAAGCTACAGTGTCATCGTGATAAATATGTAATAACTATTACCTACAGTATTATACCATACAGTTGCATAATTGGCGGTGTTTATTGTTATAATCTTTTTTTATTCTCTCGACATTTTTATTCTTGTTATTATTATTATGGGATTGTAAAATACGACGCTTTTTCACGTTTTATATAGGTGACAATCACCGGTTTCGACTTGAACAGCTATAGACAATGTCTGGAAAAATGGGACGACGCCATTAGTGTCATGTACAAAAACTGCAATAAAGTCGGGTCTGGGTACTGCCTGATGGTGTACTATGAGCAATTGGTGTTGAGACCTCGGGCCACGTTGACTGAGATTCTCAACTTCTTGGATATCCCGTGGAACGAGACAGTACTCCACCACAATGAAATGATCAACAAGCCTGGAGGGATCGCTCTTTCTATGTAAGTTTATACTCACTGTGTCCCGAYGCCCGTTTAATAAATTGTAGGATGGTTTGTTATCTTATCTGGGTTCTAAGGCGATTTTCTGTCGAGATTTCAACGAGTTAATTTAACTTTGTATTTTTTCTTTCATTGCGGTGATTTTTTTCTCGCTGATCTCCTTATTTTAATACATATATCTGTTTGAATATTTTAACAACTAAATATTAATTACATTTAATATTGAAATAAGTATTATAGTAAATCATCAATATTTAGCYGAGTTTCAATATTTCTCCCAAAATTTAAAAGTATTAACAAAATCCACCTGATAGGTAGAAAATGTCAAACATTATGTATTAGAATTTATTTAAATATTTAATTTTAAATTTTAATGTTAATTTATATCTTACGTATCTCAGTAATTCAAAATTTATAGTTTTTGTATAATGTCATAATGTAATTTGATTTTTAATTTTATCGGCTATCTGTCGCTCATCAGWTTATTCGCATAGTGTATATATTTTTCATCCAACTTCTTACATGCTTATGTTATAATATCTATTGTATAAAGTCATAAGTGCGTATTTATAATTTTTAAGTAAATAGGCGTACTATTAAATTCTTCCTTTCAGGCTTATTAACTGTATTCGTAATACAATAGTTATTTAAAAAAGTATTGTCTGCATCAAAATAATATGAAATTAAAAAACAAACAAAAAAGTCATCATTCCAAAAAGCAGTAAAAAATATTATGAAACAAAATTCTATACGATTTAAATTTATTTCAATTCTTTATTACAGATAATAATTGTTAATTTGTTAATGATTAAACAATTTATGTGTATTGTGTATAATAGAGAATTAATAATTTACCAAATTCAATTTGCCTAGTATTATTGAAGCCAAAATGACATATTCAACTCAACAATTTAAAAACCGTAAGTCAAAGATATYCCACAATGCCCATTGTCCATAACGAACGCGCTGTTATAACACTTACAAAAAACCTCATCTTAACAAACATTTCCAAAAATGGTGGTATATTGATTTTCCTTGAGATAAAAAAAAAAAAACAGGCTTTATAAAAGCTTTCCATAGAACTGTATTTTTACCATGGACGTCGGACATCATATATTATAATAAGTGAATGCGGTAAAAGATATTTCCTATATTTTTATTCTTCTATCAAAATATATCGCATTTTTCAACCGACGTATCAGCAATTACGTACCGCATGTAACAGTTGTGCAGGTGATTTACTCATCAGCATTTAAACCATCGCTGTAAGGGATATGATAGTATTTTAACACAAAAATAAATTTATTTCATTTAGTATTCAGGGAATGAAGAAAGAGAAAAWAATATTTTATTTTTAATAGTTTTGAAWATATATAATTATAACTGCACAGTTTTTACCAAAATTACATTTTAATATTAAAAGCTCTAACTTATAATATTTTTCTTATAAATAAAATCTATTGCTCGCATAAATGATAATGTGTAGTTTCCATATTATATCTTATAAGCTGTAAAACCGATATTGAAAATTATAATCTTCACTAATTTCCATAAAACTTTTAAATATATTTTAATTTCTCGTGAATTCATCAAATACCACTGCCCCCTCTATATAGCACTAAGCGACCACCGTCAAACGTCAATAATAMTTATGGTTATTGTATTATCTAAGATAGTTTTATTGTGTATCTACACGGGAGGTCGTAAAATCCTCACGAAATATATAGTTAACTCACTTTACAGCCTCTTTGTCTGTGACAGTAATGAACTCTAAGGTTCTCGATCTCAATAGCTTCTTCCTTTTTTATATATATATATATAATCTAATTAAAATATTTACAGGCTTCTATCCTCTTATCAATTTTTCTTTCAATTTCGACCTTCTAAAAGTACCAACTAGATCCAATATAGTATAAGATAATAATATTAACATTTAAAAATCAAATCAATTTTTATACTAGAAAAAGAAGTATCTCCTGACACAAAAAAAGAACAATTATAAAAAAAACACATATTATCATTGTGAAATCAATATATTCRTCGCCACGCCCAAAATCTAAAACTATAAATTGAATTTTATCGATATTAATAAGTTATATTTTTTCAATTTTTTTACGTTTGAACGAATAGTCAACCTTAAGTCTACCTTCACTGTACTTGATAAGTGTTGCTTATAAGTKAAAAAAATATTTTTCTTSATACTATATAAACTATTTTAATATAATCTGCAGTATACGTGATGTCTATAACGCTTGTGTTTGTTACAGGGTGGAACGTTCATCGGACCAAGTGGTCAGGCCGCTGTACCAAGAAGCGTTGACCAAATGGGTTGGTCAAATACCCGATGACGTGGTAAACGACATGGCAAATATCGCGCCAATGTTGAGCACGCTTGGGTACGACCCGGCCGCCAATCCACCCACATATGGCATCCCAGAAAACGAGTCTGCTCCAGAGCATCAGTATGAATCAAGTGCCAGTGGAGATACGATGCACACCACCACGCAGAACAGGAAGCGGTAGTCGAAATTTATGTTATACATATTTTTTTTTTTTCATATCTCTTATTATTGTAATCGTTTAAATATTGTGAACAATGTACAGGTACCTACTATAATATAATTATATAATATACACGAACAAAATAATATAAAATAATTTAATATTTCATTCATTACAGAACGGTTTGTCAAATGTGTGTACATGTGTACATAGTTTATATTAATTAAATACGATAAATATATATTATTATGTATACATATTTATAT